AAGGAAGGAAGGAAGGAAGGAAGGAAGGAAGGAAGGGAGGGAGGGAGGATGGATTGCAAACTTAAATTCATCTCAGTATTCCTATTACACTCTCTGATCAACAGCTGGTTAACATTCCATTTGAGTTAAACATAGCATTTAAAAATAACATCATGTGACTGTATGTGAATGCAAAGCTCTGATAAAATCTTGGTAGGAAAACCCTAGTCTAGGGAAACAGACTTAAAAAATTTTTTTACTATATTTGAACTTCATTTAATGGGCTATCCATGGTGAAAATACTACTTCCGGTTTCATATACAGTTGCCCGTTTTGTTAATTCTGCTATTAGCACCTGCTCAGCACTTTCTCATTTTCAGCTCTCAAGTTCACTTCATGTTCTTTTATCGACATGATCTTCACCCTCCTTACCCATCTCAATTCCCCCAAACATACACCTTTCTACATTAGAATACATATAAATATGGCTAGTGGCAAAAACCAAACAAACAAAAACTGATGCCAGTGTGAGAGAAAGGCAACTACACAGACATCTTTATCTATTGAAAGACTCTGACATAATCTGTCATCAAAAAATTGCTATGGGCTGGCCCCAGTGGCTCATGCCTATAATCCTACCACTCTAGGAGGCCGAGGCAGGAGGATTATTTCAGGTCAGGCGTTCAAGACCAGGCTGAGCAAGAGTGGTCCCATGTCTATCAAAACAGTAAAATTAGCTGGGCTTAGTGGCAAGCATCCATAGTCTCAGCTTCTCAAGAGGCTGAGGCAGGAGGATCATTTGAGCTCAAGAGCTTGATGTTCTGTGAGCTATGATGATGCCACTGCACTGTAATTATCCAGGGTGATAGAACAAGACACTGTCTCCAAAAAAATAGAAAAGAAAAAGAAGAATTGTTATGTTATAATCTGCTGACATGGAGAAATAGATTTAATAGAGAATATTAGAAACTCTATTTCTAAAACTAGATTCTACCCGTAATTCAACAGCAAGATCATTCTTTTTTTTTTTTTCCTTTTTTTTTGGCTGGGGCTGGGTTTGAACCCACCACCTCCGGCATATGGGGCTGGCGCCCTATGCCTTTGAGCCACAGGCATCACCCCATGATCATTCTTGAAAGTAATCAGTTCCCATCCCAGTAGAAAATGTACTCACTTCATAAATAAAAGGCAAATGGTAAACGAAATAAAAATACCATCTACAGGATTATTATTTTAGGAAGTTCTTCCTCACAGCTGCTTCTCTTGCATTACCACCTAAATCAATAACAGCAAGCGTTGCTTAAAGTAAGACAGAAATTCTGTTCGTTTTATGTACATACCAACAGTGTGGATAGGTTTCCTATAAGGCATTAGGCCAAAACTGTACTGAAAAACTCCTCTGGCATGAAACAGGGGCAAAGCAAACCCCATCATCTTCTGTAGTTTCTCCTGAACAGTTCTAAGCCATGAGCCTTCAGGATTGTTAATTTGTTTAAACAGTTCATTTTCACCAAAAGAAAACACTGGGACCAAATATGCGCTGTAAATAACAAAGGGGAAGAATAAGAATTTTAAATGAAAAAGATTTACATGATTTATTCTATTTAGCTGAACTTCTGCAACAAATTCCTAAAACTTTTTAAATCTTTAAAACTTTTAAACCAAGCCTCCCCACGTCGCTTATTTCATCTCCAATACATTGAAATCCTTTGGGGAAGTCCTTCCGTGGGGCAAACCATTCAGATACTTCTATTTTATAGAAAAGCAATGCTCCGCTCTCCAGCTGCAGCTCTGACTATTGTTTATTCATCTGGCAGGAAACTTAGTGTATAAAATTTTAATTTTTATTACTCGCTCCCCTTATTTGCTTTTAAAGTTTAATTGCAGAATGCCATGGCATTGAACTACCTTAGTAAAAAGGACATATTCTATTCCCTAAAAATATCTATACCTTTTATTTTATTATTTTTTTTTTTTGCAGTTTTTGGCTGGGGCAGGGTTTGAACCCACCACCTCCCGCATATGGGGCTGGTGCCCTACTCCTTTGAGCCACAGGCGCCACCCTCTTTTTTTTTTTTTTTTGAGATAGAGTCTCACTGTGTCACCCTCAGTAGAGTGCTATGATGTCACAGCTCACAGCAACCTCAAATGCTTGGACTTACTCGATTCTCTGGCCTCAGTCTCACAAGTAGCTAGAACTACAGGTGCCCACCACAATGCCCAGCTATTTTTTTGTTGTAATTGTCATTGTTGTTTGGCAGGCCCAGGCTGGGTTTGTACCTGCCACCCCTGGTGCATGTGGCCAGCACCCAAGCCTCTGAGCTATAGGCACCGAGCCCATACCTGCTTTTATTGTAAGATTGATTTAGAGGTGGTCCTTAAGAACTAGAAAATCACTTTATTTCTTTGAGCTCATTTAATAATGTCTTAATTTTCTTGACCCTTATACAAAAAGCCACTTACCCATGGGTCAAAGCAATTTTAACAAATCCTTTCCGCTGACGGATGAACAGAGTGAATTTTCCAGGACCGGCATCCAGTGACTCTTCTGCACCCCCAAGGACAATGACAGAAATGTTTCCACCTCCTTCCTTGCTCATCACGTATGATATGCTTTTCTTAGAAACAGAAACTGGCCCTGAGTGATTAAAACAAAAGGGCAACAAATAATAAACTATCCTTTTAAAATGATTAAATTTTTTAAATCATAATATTCCATGGCAACTGTAAACATTTTTAAAAATTCCCTATATGGCTTACCTTTGGACCACTTTGCAAGTTTGTAATGTTTTTCATACCAAATCTTTGGTAATGTATTCCATTAGTCGGATCTAACATTTTGGCAGATAAAGTTTAAAATGTCACCTGATCATTACCAGGTCTACCACTTACTGGGCAGGTTGTACACTGCTCATCTCTACAGGACTCTGTTCATACTGCCTTCCAAGTGAAAAGCGTCTCTTTTCAGTTGTGCAGTACACAACCTGCACAGCTGTATGCGATGGCCTCCACCATTGCCCTGGAGAATCCTTGCTCAGAACCAAAAAGTAGATCTATCCTCCCAAAGACTACAGTGGGTCTTCTTAACATATAATGGCCTGTTTTCAGATATTCTGTATGGATTATTATTTTCTAAACATTGTAAATGTAAATGGCTTCAAATATTCAGACATTTGGCAAATAACTGGATCACTTGCCAGATCTCTGCAAGGTTCCAAGATGTGTCCTCTGGCTTTGGCAAATTGTTCACGGAAGCCAGTTACATAATGTTCAGTCTGTGTATCAGGCTTTCCCATGGAAAAATAACTTTAAAGATTCCTTTTCAGATCTGACATATACCGGGGAATCTTGGAGGAAAACACAGAACAGAAAAGACAAAAATAAAAACCATTCATACCCACGTTTCAGAGATAATTGCTTTTTAATGTTTTATGCTTCCTTCCAGTCTGGGTTGTATCCATTTATTTCAGTCGTAACACAACGTGTTAGACAGGCTTTTTAAAGACAAAGTACATGTCATCTCTTGAAGAAATTTATACTACATATGCTAATTTTACTGTGGGTTTCTATTATTGAGGGAATGTAAAATTATAACAGGATTCTGAATGGCCAAGTATTTTCTTCTTTTTTTTGAGACAGAGTCTCACCATGTCGCCCTCAGTAGAGTGCCATGGCGTCAAATGGCGTCACAGCTCTCTAGGTCTCTGGTAGTTAAAGGGACAGACAGTGCGCCCTTGGGGACCAGAGGCCAAATCTTTTGGTAATTTAGAGGGTTTTGTGCGCCCCCTAGTGGGTCCTCTAGCCCAGGGTGGACTGAGTTCTGTTTGTAGGTCAGAAACTGAAATACCTGAAAACTCAGCCATGGATCCTGGTTCTTTGGTGCTGAGTGACTTCTTACCAGGCATATAATGATGGCAGTGACTTAAGAAATGAATAGGAAGTAATAAAAATATGGGATAATGCCAGAATGAAAATTCTGTGAATATGCCACTTATTGATCCTGAAATTATAAATCGTAAAGAGCCTATTGACTTTTCCTTATATCTAAGAATGCAAAAACAATGATTAATCTATACACTGTTCACAAATGCAGTTCGTAGCTCTTCAATAAGTTGGTCAAGTTGGAAAACCAAACAAATTAGGCTTCTTAAATTGAAATAAGAGCTATCAACAAAAGCTTAGCCTTCTGCGCACAATCTTTATAACATTTCACACTAATTTTATTCTTGGGATTTGTAGAATTGTGGTTTCACTAATTAAAGAGTCTTCCATTGGTTTAGAGTGGCAGAGTAAAATAGCCTCTTATTTCTAAACCAAGTTATATTTAATCTGGGGAGAAAAAAGACAGCCAGTTGAATATGTTTTGTCTATATCACTGCTGTTGCTTTGAGAAACAATGAGGGGTGTTATCAATTTCTAATATTCATGAAACCGTGTGAAGTGCTTCTTCAAGGGTGTGACTTATCACCTATTTGATCCATGATTTTTTCTTCCATATGTAGATATCCAAAATGCATTCTTTAATTTATTTTTGCATTGAATTAGTATTTATTACACATTTTCTGTGTTCCAGGAACGATGCTAGATACTTGGGTTGGAACAGAGAAAAAGACGCAGTCTACATCTTCGTGGCAATTATGTATGAAGTTCCAGATAGGGATGGGGATGAGGACTCTAACAGACTGTCAGAGCCAGCGGGGCTGGGGGGGAGCGTTTTATATGTTCCTGCCGCCCTGCCGCACACTGTGGAAATGGTGACCCGCCATCGCTTACCGCTACTCATCAGATATTCTCGGAAGAGAGGACACCGGAACCAAACTGGGAGCACATGAAGATACGCAGTAAAGCCAGGAAACAGCTCCTTGAAGTCTGAATAATTTGTACAAAAATTTCCAAAGGCTCCAGCCACAAGTACTCCATGAGGGTGAAACCCAAATATATAATTGTGACTTGGATCCAAATCCTGAGTTTTGATGAGCTATATAGCATGTACATATCGCGATTAAAAAAAAAAAAAAGATCCCCGTTAGTTTCAAATGAGTAACAGCAGAACTAGTTTTTATGTCAAGAGGAAATGGCGAACATGGCTTGTTTTAGTGCCCTGGCTAAGAGCTGCTTGCAAATTCACAAACACTAATGAGCGTAGAGCCCTTCACACACACTCATCCAGATTGTGAAAATTCAGCTTAGAATTCATTTAGTAACTGCAACCAAATCGCAGGCCTTATCCCTGCCATTACTGAATGTGCCCCCCTTGTGTTAAAAACTGAATCCCCAATCAATAGTGTTGGGAGGCGGGGCAATGTCAGGTGGCTAAGTCACAAAAGCAGACTGCAGGGATTAAGGCCCTCGTCAAATAAATGGGCCCATCCTCTCCGGAGTGGGATCCTGCTAAAGAGATGAGTTCGGCCTCCTCTCACTCTTTCTCACCCTTTCCTGCTCTCCCCGCCTTCCACCACTGGAAGGTGATAGCCAGGTGCCAGCAAATTGACATTGGCCTTCCCAGCTTCCAGAACTGTGAACAATAAATTTCTTTTCTTTATAATCTCCCGATCTCTGCCGTTCTGTGAAAGCAGAACAAAACAGACCAAAGACACTCCTTCTGAAAAGGAAAAGCCTGAGATACACAGGATGAAAACAAATTTCCACCCTTCTTCCAACTCAAAACAATACTGAATAAAACAATTCTACTCACGTGAATTGGAAAATAGTCCTTAAAGTACTTCCAAACAGTCCAATTTCTGACCCAGTTGGATCTCCTGCCTCCTTGCTCTGGGGTATGCCAGTCAAAGTAAAGCCACGTCAAGTAAGGGACGTAAAGGAACCAATAGTTGTGTATGATCAGCACCACGATGAATCCAACACACACCTGGGCTGTAGGAGAGGGAAAAGCGTCATGGAATCAGAGCCAGTTAGCATCTACTCACTGGACTGTATAATCAGCCCTTGATTTGGGGATTTAATACATACAAAGGATATTAAACTGAGCCTGGTTCAGGTGATGTCACAGAACAAGACAGTAATCATAGGGGATTATTTAACATTTATTGAATGTTTACTGTATGCCAAGCATTGTCCTGTGTACTCTGCCTAGGTGTTTTCATTTACCCCTCATACAGCCACAGTACCGATAAGTAGTCACTGTACTCCTAGCAACCTCAAACTCCTGAGCTCAAGCCACCCGCCTGCTTCAGCCTCCTGAGTAGCTGGGACTACAGGCAGCCGCCACCACCCCCAGCTAAGATTTTCTATTTTCAGTACACAGGGTCTTGCTTTCCTCAGGCTGGTCTTGAACTCCTGACCTCAAGCTACCCCTTGGGTCTCCAGAGTGCTAGGGTTACAGATGTGAGCCACCACCCCTGCCCTTAATGTTCTTTTTATAAAAGAAAAAAATGGAGGCTTCCAGAGAGAGTAAGTGAGTTGCCCAAGTCACACAGTGGTAGGTTTGTAAGAATTCAAAATCCACCCACTTAGACGTGGACCTACATTGCCACCCCGACATGGACATCGGGGGGTCACTGCTGACAGGAGGGATGTAGAGAATTTTCCACTGCAGGAAATGCTATCTCCCTACCTTTGCTGAGAAGCCACCATTCACGTGCCCACGAAGAGCACATTCTAGCGACAAACTTCATTTTCAGGAACTCTATCATAGTCAAAGACAGAAATAGCAAAGGAGGGACTCTTCAGATCTTAGCATACGCCACTTCTTCCAATGTTTTATCATATGAGAGAGCATTCCTAATTGTTTTTATACCTAACAACATAACGTCAAAATACAAGGGGCAAAAAGACGACAAAAGTTGACTTGGGGAGTAGTGACAAGCAACGCATTAAGCTAAGGTACACACTTGTCAGATGTCTATGTTATGAATTACAATAAAATATGTACAAAAGGAGAAATACATCAACAAGAGAAAGAGAATGTGCATAGAGACTAGAGCAGTGCACGCGGGGCTCGCTATGCTGGCTTTTAGTGTTACTTTAAGGAGTGCAGTTGCTACTTTCTCTATCACCCACTGCCGTCCTGATCTAGGGATCACGTAAGTCCCCAAACTCTATCCCTAAGGATCCGTCAGGGACCTGTAGACAGCATCTAGATTATTGTTGAGAGTTAGGCACGTGTGCAGAGATGTGCATCCTGGGCCCAAAACAGAGCATTTGTTTAGACTTCTTGATACATACAAATCATTAAACTTCCCAGTATGGACTTAACCAAATTCTAAAATTGAACCTAGTCAGAGGACTGCCTTGCAGCTCTCTCCAAGGATGGTGAAAGGGTAAAGGGGTGAGTGAAATGTTACAGTATGCGTCCTCCATGGCTCTCTGGGGTGTCCTGTTGCATCCTGGCCCTGCCAAGAAAGTTTCCACGAGTCCAGGGCAAGAATGCCCTCTGCCCTCATTCCTCTGCGATCATTCCATTTTGCTTCATTTCCTTCTCTCCTTCCATGTCAGAGTGGCAGTCATTTACCACCGTCTGCTAGTTTTCTGCTTATTTTAGTTAAGCTGTGCAAAAAAAGTACAAGAAACACACATAGGCTTCATTCTTCTACACTCAAAGCTAGATCGGGCGAGCTAAAGTGGAGCAGGGAAGGGAAGAACAGTTATCAGGTAGGGTTTGTCCTCGTTTACTTCACAGAGGGAATCTCCCCTACGCCCCCTTGTAGTCCTCAAGGCAGATGTTACTGGTCCCATTTTACAGTTGTGGAAACTGAGACTCAGGGAATTTTAGTGTCCAAAGAATTTGAACCTGCTTCAGCCTAATCCCTAAATCAATGCAATTTTTCCATAAAACCACACTATCCTCCAGCTAGTGGTAATAATACTGTAAATGTATACATATTTGCCACACATACATAAGCAGGTTCATAAGCATAAAGAATCAGGGACGTGATTCAGTTTTCCTTACCATGAAGATAAAAGCTGAAACCAAAAGCAAACTGACTTTTAATTCAATCACAGGATGAGCCAAGAGCAGATCCATAAAATCCCCTAAAGCTACTAATTCAATGTGTGCAGACTTAGCTGAATAAACACTGCACAGCTCTTCCATGCTCATTATGTGTTTTGTTTGTATAATAATTAAGACGTGGGTCAGAAATTGGGCTGCTATGTTGGAAACTGCCCAGCCTGGGGCAAGTTCTTGTAACTCGTAAGCCTCTATTCCCTTACCTGTGAAATGGGCTAATGACAGCTCCTGTTTCCAAGGGCTGCTGAGGGAATAAACGAGCTCGTGCTTGACAAATGCAACCCACTGTTACAATAATTTTGTTTGCTATTATATATTTGGAGAATGCCAAAAGTGAAAGCAGACAGAATATCCACAATACTCCTGTCACTCAACAAAAACTACTGTTCAATATTTTCCTTTGAGTCTTTTGACAGGGTCTTGTTATGTTGCCCAGACTGGCCTTGAACTCCTGGGGTCAAGTGATCCTCTTGCCTCGGCCTCCTCAGTAGCTGGAACAGTTCAAGTTACTGCTCCTGGCTAATCATACTTTTTAAAAATTCTGTATTTCATCATTTAGGATTATCTCATACTAGATATTTGGTATTATAATCTCTTTATAAATGTTATTTTTAATGACTGATCAATATTTCACTGATTAGCATACCAATTCAACCATTCTCTTAGTTTTTTTTTGTTTTGTTTTGTTTTTTGAGACGGAGCCTCAAGCTATCCCCCTGGGTAGAGTGTCATGGCATCACGCTCACAGCAACCTCCAACTCCTAGGCTCAAGCGAGTCTCCTGCCTCAGCCTCCCAAGTAGCTGGGACTACAGGCGCCCGCCACAACACCCGGCTATTTTTTGGTTGCAGCCATCATTGTTGTTTGGTGGGCCCGGGCTGGGGATTTGAACCCGCCACCTTAGGTGTATGTGGCTGGCGCCTTAGCCACTTGAGCCACAGGCGCCGAGCCCATTCTCTTAGTTTTGATCATTTATATTTCTAACAAAATTTCTCTATAAATGTGATCTTCCATAAGGTTTCTTCACATTTTGATTTATTTCCACAGGACAGCAGGTAAAATACTAAGTTACTAAGCAGAAACATCTTTGACAGTTGATGCACTTTAATACCTCACCATCCACGGGAGTTGTTCTAATTTAAATTCCTACACAATGCACATATTTTTTTTTGTTTCATATCACAAGCAGTATCGAAATAGTTATGTTTTTAATCCCTTGATTCTAATTTAGATTGAAAGAAGAAAACATTATAAAAACTAGGTGACTAGATAACCTCTGTTTTCTATTTTTACCTCATTAAGCAATCCAAAGTAACTTGATTCTTCTAAACAGGAGTTCAAAGAGAAGAGGAAGGTATGAGAGTCTACACCACACATCGTGCAGTCCTCAACACCCATATTGACACCCTTTTAAATCGTCTACATTCAGAGACCAACTTGAATTGAGGGCCTGATTTTAGCTAGGTTGATTCAGGTATAGTCGAGATTAAAAGCCACAAATCAGCATCCTATCATTTATACTCTATTTGGACTTAACTCCTACAGAATCTATTTTCTGTACACTGTTGAGGAAGCTGCCCTCACTCAATTTTTTTTAATTGATGTGAAATTCATATAACATAAAATTAACCATGTTAAGGAGAACAATCCAGTGGTATTTAATTCGTAACACTGTGCAACTGCCACCTCTAATTTCCAACATTTCCATTACCTTGAAACAGTAAGAAAATTGGTACCATTCCTCCTCCCCTTTGCCCCAGCAACCACCAATCTGCATTCTGTTTCTGTGGGTTTATCTACTGTGGATATTTCACACAAAGGGAATGGTATATACAACACACGACCTTTTGCTTCACATCAAGTTTTTGAGGTTCATCCGTGTTGCAGTACCTCATTCCTTATGTGGCTGAACAGTATTCAGTGTACGCTGCATATCACAGTCTGCTTATTTGTGCATCTACTGATAAACATAGGGGTTGTTTTGGCTACTGTGAAGACTGCTGAAGTGCCCCAGTCACAGTAACAGTATTTATGACAAGTCCGTAACAAATTAGGCCAGGTCAAAGTGTAGGCATCGTCATTTAATTCAGCATCACCAATACTGGGATAAAATGACATGATGCCTTTGATGGGACCTAGTGGGAATGCCTCAGTCAAGTCCAGACTGTGGGGCATTCTACAGGATGACTAACCGAGGCTCTAAAAAACAAAAAACAAAACAAAACACAAACCTTTTAAAAGTTTAAAACACAAGTAAAATGTACAGAAACTCGTCTAACTGTAAAGGAAAAGCTAAAGACAAGTAAGGAGATTTGAATGTGAGGCATAGATTAAATATATTTCTTGGGTATGATAATACTATTTTGATTATACAGAAAATCCTGGGTTTTCAGGGGATACAAAATATAGTATTTAGGGATGCTGTGTCACATTTACCACTTGCTTTCTTACTATCAAATGGCTTAACAGCAACAACAAAGTGAATACTTGTGGTGGGGGAGAGAGAGAGGGAAGAGAGGGCGATTTAGAGAGTAGGAGAGAAGAGGGGAGGGTGGGTGCAAATGTGGCAAAATGCTAAAATGTTGGTGAATCTAGACTAAAAATGTTTTAAAAAATTATTTTTTGTGGGCCAGATGGGGTGGCCCACACCTATAATCCTAGCACTCTGGGAGACCGAGGCAGGAGATTTTAGGTCAGGAGTTCAAAACCAGCCTGAATAAGTATGAGACCCCATCTCTAAAAAAATAGATGGGTGTCGTAGTGGGCACCTGTAGTCCCAACTACTTTTGAGGCAGAGGCAAGAGAACTGGTTGAGCCCAACAGTTTGAGGTTGCTGTGCGCTATAATGCCAACGCACTCAACCCCAGGACAACTGAGTGATACTCTATCTAAAAAAACCAACAAAA